AATGAGATTAGATTTAAGATGGGAAGATAAAATTATAGAGTATATTTAATCAATAGTGTGGAGGGGGGTTTCTGAGTCGAAGCGGAACCAATTGATGTGTTGGTGGACAGTGGAGCATGGACATTGATTATGGAGCGATAAATTGCATGATAACTAATGGGAGAGAAGTGAAATTTTAGCCACAATCGACTTGTACCTTGGATTGGCTTTTAGCCAATAGTATTTCTTTGTATTTTGTTATGGAGAAGCTGATTCACGTTGTGTTAAGTTTAACAATAGAGCTGATTAGCAAAACAAGTGGCAAATTGGATTTAAAATAGAGTTATGAAGGGATGATTCTGAATCTATTAAATCAAAGCTAAAAGGGTTTAAAAAATGTACAAGGCTGAAGCATAATGGAAGAATGATACTACCAACATATATGAATTCTTACTGAAGTCTTGTCAGACCTGCCCATATTTTAATTACTATTTGTCGATACTGCATATTCAAAGTACATTGTAGTACTAGTGCAACACCCTCAATAATTAAAAGTCAATCCTAATTACTCTCAATTAGGTCACTTTGTCTCCGACTGTTGATCACAACCAATTTGTAACAAAATGGAATCTCTTACCAACTTAAGAAGTATGTCATTGATGTGGTTAAGACACCATTTGCTGAAGAAATGATCCACTACCATGCAACAAATGCCTCAAATAAGGGTTTTCCTTGGGGCACACTTATGTTGGAAACTAGGCCGGCATGCTTAAGGCAAGATGCCTAAAAATCCACAAAAATCACAGCTGAACTAGTTAGGCCTGAAACGCATTATAGTTTTGGAGAGAACACCTCTCTCCAGATACTTGAGCCTCAAAAGCTCAGGCTCCAAGTTGGTTTTTCAGTTCTCTAGGTGCCTGTTAGATTAGATGAATATCCCACTGTGCGCCACTGGGTTTAACAGATCATCTCTGACCTGGTATATTTTGTGAAAGACCTATGTTGTAGTACCATGATTGGGGTCCTTAAGTAACACTCGCCGAAACCTTATTTTTCATCACAATTGACTGAGAATTTCTCAAAATTTTACCATTCCATAATACTGTTGGAGATGCATCAAATTTTGGTTGGCTTTGGCATTAGGGAAAAGTAAATATGGAAACTATCTGATAAAACCCACACTTTTACTGTGCTTGCTGCTAAAAATGATATGTTGTGGATATTGTGTCTCATAGTTGCTACCAAATTTAGCTTAATTCTTCTTTGATACAACTTGGTGTGGAAAGAGGCTGGCTGTTAAAAACTCGTTCAATCTCTGAGTTTTTAGTACTTGAATCATAATCAAAGCACGATAGCATCCCCCATCAAGATAAAGGCCTATGATTTTGTTTTCTATTGAAATAATTCAAACCTTGATATCAGTCTTTATGGTGTTATTGGTTGAGAACCTATGTCTACCACCACTCTATTCAAAGTGCACCATATAAAGCAAAAATCATCAACCTTGAAGCTTATTCCATGAAATTCTTCATTCTGCATAGAACTGATGTAAGATTTAGATTTTAGATCTCATGCTTTGATAAGAAACATACATGGCCTCCGACATGATGGATCCAGTGCATCAGGTACGTAGTGAATCAAAATAAATGGTTTTGAGGCACTTACATTTTGTTCATAACTAAGCTTGCAAATTGATACTGCTGTGGATTTCTCTTCTTTTTTTATTTTTTTTTTTTTTATGTAAATTGCAATATGTTAATACCACCTGTAAATCTATTGCATCTTAACTAAGCTTTTTATGATAATTTCATAACATGCTAACTTCCTTGTATAGTAATTTAAAAAATGGAGATTTGATGATATATGTCGCGTACATTGTTCACATGATGCAGCCACTTGGAAGCAGGCCTTACCTTACCACATTCTGTAATCTCAAGATAATAGTAACACGTGATTATTCTTTTGTCTTTAACCAAATCCTATTATTTGGAGTTACGTTTTGATCAAATACACAACACTTTCATAATTACTTGAGGCAGACTGTGACGTGTTTATCCCAATTGTCATGCATAATTTTCCCCTATTTCTTTGTCCACTTTGAGAAGGTTCTATTTATTGCTGATTGCATGATAACAAATCTATTTCATATTTATAATGCTATTGTTTGTACATATGTAGGTTCCATGAGGTTGATTCAAGCTGTGGTTCCTTACATGATATCTAAGAAGAAGGGAAAGATTGTCCACATTGGAAGTGTTTCCGCTTTGAGCCCTGGACCATAGGCTGGTGCTTACACTGCATCTAAAGCTGCCCTGCCTTCCCTAACTGATACACTGAGGTTTGTGCTATATTGCCCATGTTAGTATTAGATTGTTAATCCATTTCTTTTTCTTTCCCTAAGCAAACTTCTATAAACAAACAGCTAACCAAACAACAAACAGAGAGGTAAACCTTTCAGAAACAATACAATTAAAAAGCCCACTTCCAGAAGTTGGGTAATAGGAAAGCTAAAATTAAAAAACTTTCAAAAGGAAAACCAATACAGAAGAACAGAGGGACAACCTCCCACTCAAACCAACACTCACAAGCAGAATAAATAAATATAAAACCAGGATTCAGAAAGAGAGCAGTCCTACCAACAGTACTTTAGCGCTTACCATGAATGAGAGACTAGATGAGCAAAAGAGGGTTTGGATATAAATTTATCACTCTCACTCTTACTGTTGGAGTAATTATGATTTATGACCTACTTAAGTGAGTAATAAAATATGATTAGTGTTCTCTGTGTTACATGTTTTTATTTTGACTAAGCTTCATCCTATAGAGCCATAAAGTCAATAATCTGTAGTGATTTTATACACACACACACACATTTCCATGATGAAGTTGCTCTTTCTCAGTAATGTCCGATTTTAGCTCTGGTTTAAAAATTCTATAGGACTGGTTTTTCCAAAGCCAGTCATGGAGAATGATTGGTGGCATTTGTCAAAAAAAAAAAAATTTTGGAGAATGGTTGGTGGTTCTTAAAATCTCTCTCTCTCTCTCATTATTATTATTATTATCTATTTTGCTATGTATAATGTCACTCCCTCTCACACATACATTATTAGTAACTTTTCTTTTCTTTTCTTTTTCTTTAATCAAGGAGAAGATAAAGCTAGGTGAAGTCACCTGTAGGAGGAAGAAGGTTTGGTTGGGTAGCTGATGAAAAACCTTTTAATTATGTTTGGGTAAAGTGGAAGGAGAGAAAAGGAAAGAATGTCATTTTTCAACCTTTAATCAGAACACTCAAAATCAATAGACTTACGTGAATATGAACAAGATAAAGCTAGCTATTTCCCAGAAATTTAATTTGTTTGGTTGATTATAACTCTTCCCCTCCTAACCTGAGGTCCTAAACCATCTCCATATGGTTAATCCAATTTTTATCTGCTTAAGATGCAGATACCCACCATCCTTCCCACAGCTTCCCCTACTTATCCCACCCCCAATAGAAGAGAGGAATGAAAAAAGGGAATTAAAAATTTAATGTATAAGTAACACAGTCCAGGGTGCATAAGCTGTAATACTTCATCCAAAGCTGTGCGACATTGTTTCAAAGATACCTTGGGTTTTGGACAACGTAGGCAAACATATTTTTATACCATCTGTTCTTATATGTAGATTTAAAAAAAAAATAATAATAAAAAATAAAATGTGCCCCTTCGTAGAGTAAGGGTGATAGAAAAAACTTTCTTGGCTTCTAGGGTGCCATTGAGCTCTTCTTTGTCTTGACTTCATTGGATAATTGTGTTTCTCGGAATACATTTTGTGACGCTCTGCACGATTAATCCAATTCAGTTACCCAGGCGTTAATTAGTATATTCCTCGATTACGATGAGGTGAATGACCATTTCCTGAATTTTGTCCTAGTCAAAATTTTGTTCAATTTATAGTTAGTATATCAAATGTTAGTTGGAACCAACTAACAAATAAATTTGGGGACAGAGATGAGTCTGAATGATCAAATAGTTTTGTCCTAGGAAGTATGCAAATGCGGGCTTCTGTAAGTTTTATCGATAAATAGTAATACGAAATGAGTGGGGAACAGAATATGGATGGAGTCAACTTATTTGATATTCAAAAATTATGATTATTATTGATTTAAAGTGTGCTTGACAGTCGGCCTAAAACTTGAATATTAGGACCAGCACAAAGAATATGAATTGATTTAAAGCCAGGTTATACCCTTATGTTATGTTTGGGAGAACCAAATCAGTGCCGCCAAACTAGCATTGCTGTTTTCTGATATCTCTCCAAATGTTGTTTATTAACTGGGACAGGTCACATTATGTTTGTGGGATTTGACATGGTGTTTATATCCATCACTGAATGCAGATTGGAGCTCAGACCTTTTGGGATTGATGTTATTAATGTTGTACCTGGAGCTATTAAGTCAAACATAGCAAATTCTGCTATAGCACTGAATGGAAGTTAATTGGTACTATAATCGAATGCCTGAATGGAAGTTATACAAGAAATTTGCAACAGCAATCCGAGATACTGCCTACGTCTCACAAGGCTCAAATGCTACCCCTTCAGAAGAGTTCGCAAAGAAGACTGTAGCTGCAGTGCTGAAGAAGAATCCACCGGCTTGGTTCACATTGGCCGGTTACTCCACCATAATGGCGATCTTGTACCATCTTCCACTATTTATCAGAGATTCCATTATCAGGCAATGAATTGTTAAAGTTTTACAATTTATTTATGACAGCTTCTCAACCATATATGTAACTTGATTCCATTTATCATGACAGTATTGAACAAAGAATTCATGTTTTAGTGCCACCAAGTATTAATTCATAATCCATGCAGCTACAATTGTCACATTATTAATATATCAACAATTAAAGAATGACTTTCCGAAAAACTAAAAAACAATTAAAGTGAGCTAATTAACGTACACATTTGAATATACTAGATACAACAACATATGCCTAACCCAAAGTACACCATGTACCAACACCAGAAAGTGACCAACTTTAGTATTCCATGTCTGGACCAACATAGTAGCACATTGGAGGCATAGGATCGTCCATAATCACGTTCTCTACCATATCAAACATTCGATCATCAAATACAGGATCAGTAGCAGTATTGTATGTGGCATCAAATCCAATCCAATCTTCATCATTCATCATCATCATCAAATTTGGATCTTCATTCATCATCGTCAACAAATTTGGATCATAAAAAGTTGGAGTAGTGTTTGTGACATTGCTACCAGAAGAAGAAGCAGCCATTGAATTTGCAGGCATTGAGAGATCCAACGGAACGGGCACGTCGAGATCACTGAAGAAAGAAATTGGGTTGTCAATAATATGATCCGATGACGGCATGAAATAACCAGAATAGTTTTCGTTTTGGTGATTAGACTTCAATTCCTGAAGTCTAGTTTTGAAGGCGTCAAGATTTTCCTCCAATTTAGTACCCAAGTTTCTCAATTGTTCCTTGGATAGATTGTTAAACCGATGATCCCAAGTAGGGTACTTGATATTCTTGGTGGTCTCTTCATCGTGATCGTCATTATTTTTCTTGTCCTCCGCTTTTGCAAGTACTGAAGAAGCACTAGTACCCTGATAATCAGTTTCATGATCATCAGCCGCCGCCTCCTTCTGCTTGTTTGGATTGTCTTCTTCCATGAAGTGAGACAAATCAAGTGTCCACTTGTTACGATCTTCAAGAGATTGTTCTTCATATGATGTGAATATGTGTCGGATTGCATCAAGATCTTTAGGCCACATGTAGGGCTGTTGATCGTCAATCAGACGGTGATCCTTCGGTTTGGGACCGTAAATAACTATACAAACATCAACACCACATAGAGTGGATAATTCAAAGGCCTTTTTTTCCAAACAATTTCTCCTCTTCCGAAAACTAATATATCGATCTTTTTCGTTTCTTATCAGTTTCTTCTTTATAAGTTCCTTTTTTGGTTTAGGAGCCATCTGAAAATTATACCATCTCAGTTAGACTAAATAAATCTTTAATGGCTAAACAAATGTATATGAAACTCAATCATTAATTTCTGGGCCACAGACACCGCCGCGTACCTTTCAATATTGGCTTCTCTCTGCGCCTTTGCACCGCCTCTCTCTCTCTCTCGGTCTGGAAGACGCTCTTATGGATGATGTTCTACAGAAGTTAAGCCAATCTCTTTGTTTACAGAGGTTTGCTCGCCGCCACCAGCAGAGTCCTCGTACGCCGATATAGCAAAGCAAAGTTTTGAGTGAATTCCGTCGACCAACACCACCGCTGTGCCGTCTCTGCATAAGAGGAAATCTTGAATTTCTCTTCCGTTTGCTCTGATCTTTCTCTCACACCGCCTCTCTTTCTCTCTCTCTCTCTCTAAAAATATCTCTCTCTATTTGCAATAATGCAATGGGTGAAGAACTAATTTATAATGAGAGGGTTGGGTCTCAACTCTGCGATCTCTCTCTCTATTTTCAAGAATGCTTACTGGGTATGGAGTGATATATATATATATATACACACACACACATAGAAACCATTACTTGGGCACTAATTAATAGTAGATTACTCTTTCTGCGATCTCTCTCTCTATTTTCTCTTCCGCGTTGCTCTGATCTCTCTCTCTACACCGCCCCTCTTTCTGTCTGTCTCTCTCTAAAAATATCTCAGAATGCAATAGGTGAAGAACTAAACCTTCTTCAATAATGCTTACTGCGATCTCTCTCACTATAAATTCTCTTATCATTAATTTATAGTGAAGAACATGCAATGTTTCAATTTCCTCAGGTCTCAACTCTGCGATCTCTCTCTCTCTCTCTCTCTCTCTCTATTTTCAATAATGCTTACTGGGTGTGGAGTGATACATATATACATATATAGAAACCTTTACTTGGGCACTAATTAATAGTAGATTTCTTTACGGCATACATACGAAAATAATACAAAATCTAAAAGATTCTGTTTGAGATACTCCTGTTTTAGGACAGTTAGTCCCAAGTACTAAATTTACATTATTAACTTCCTTATTTGCTTTACTTTTCACATGGAATTAATTTACTTCAAATTTTAGAACTAAAATTTCAAACACAAGACTAAACTCAACCTCCAATTCCTATTTATTCACATATGTATTTTTTGGGGAGTAAGTAATATAATTTTAATATTTTTTTTTGGGATAATTAATATTTTTTAAAATAAAGAATAAATATTCTAAAAGATATAACTCGTGTAAAGGAACTTTGAAAGTGCATTGTTAACAAAAATAAAGGAACTTTGAAAGTGCATTGTTAACAAAAATAAAATAGTAGAAGAATTAAGCTCAACGTCAAAAAGGTCAAATGTGTTCTGATTAGTTTTAATTATATATTCTCAATAATTAATTTTAAGTTTCTTATTTATCCATATGACTAATAAGTATTTATTCATAATTATATCCACACATATGTATGTTTTTTCTTTTTTTATCCCAATCAATTAGGGGAAGGGAGGACTAGAACGTGTATATATATATATATATATATATTTTTTTTTTTTTTTTCAACAAATTAAGAGAAAAGAGGACTCGAACATGATGACACGCTCGACGCTCTACCAACTAGATCAATGTAATGCCTCATCTACATCTTATTTAATGATAAGAGAATTGAGGATTTTTTTTATTTTATTTAGTAATTATCCTGAAATTAACAATGGTATAAATGTGGGTTTAATATGTACAGAGTAGGGAAGGGAGCCAACATAGACCCGCAACCCTAAGATTGGTATTTAAGCCCAACTAAAAAAAGATACAAACTAGATCAAAGCCCAATGCACTTAAAACATTAAAACCGGCCGATAATAAAAACAAAAAATAAAAAATAAAATAAAATAAGACCAAAATAGATGTAAATGCTTAATTGCTTATCAACCCTTCCCTAATTGCCCATCTTATTGACAAATATGTACTCGAGGTGAAAAAATAAAAATATTTCTCCAAAATAGAGAAAGCAGGTACAGATGGACATCACAATTCACACCATAGAAATAGAGAAGATTCCATAAAGACACAACAAAGTCTTCAAATAAAAATAAACAAAATTATTCTGCCTCTAAATCATCATTTTACAAGTAGATAATAATGAGGTAAAAAAGAAGAATGAAGACCATAAAATGAACAAAAGATTGCCCAACCCTAAATCTAACACAGCCTGGTAGTGGGAAATGCATATAACTTTATAATTATTGTTGGACCTCTCTTTATATCTATCATCAAAAGCAATCCCAATTTGCACAGACAAATTTTCAAAATTGTCCAGAAAATGTTTCTGCAAACAACACTGCCGCACTGTTTGGAATGTCTATATAAATGTCACTGAGAATGATGAGGTTGAGAATAGTACACCATACCAGGTGGTTGAATAGGGCCAACAGGTCGAAAACTAGGAGGTGCTGGTGGTTGATGAGGTAACAGTATTGGTTGCTGCTGCGTTAATGCTGATTGTTGATGAACAAAATTTATATACTTTGGAGGGTATGTAATATAATTTTAATATTTTTTTGAGGGTAATGAATATATTTTTAAATAAAGAATAAAAAATCTAAAAGATATAACTCGTGTAAAGGAACTTTGAAAGTGCATTGTGAACAAAAATAAAATAGTAGAAGAATTAAGTTCAACATCAAAAAGGTCAAATATGTTCTAATTAGTTTTAATTGTATATTATCAATAATTAATTTTAAGTTTCTTATTTATCCAAATGACTAATAAGTATTTATTCATAATTATATACACACTTATGTATGCATCTTTTTTATTTTTTTTATTTTTATTTTTATTTTATTGAGACAAATTAAGAGAATAGAGGACTCGAACATGATTACACCCCGCGTTCTACCAACTAGGTCAAGGTAATGCCAAATTTGCATCTTAATGATACGAGAATTGAGGATTTTTTTATTTTATTTTTTATAATGAAATTAACAAAGGTATAGATGTGGTTTAATATGTACATAGTAGGGAAGGGAGCCAACATAGACCCCCAACCCTAACAAAATAAAAATAAAAAAACTTTAATTTTATGAGGTTTTGGATTCAAATCTTAATCTTACAATTTATTTCTCCAGATTTTGTGTATGGGGATAAGTTCCTTAGTTTCCATACTTTTTAAAATTTTTACGATTGAATCAAACAATGAAATCTTGATTACGTGCGTCCTCAAATTTTTTCAATTCCACCAAACAATGATCGCTATAGCCTATAGGTAGTATTTGACGGAATTTTTTTTTTCTTTTAATTGACAAAATGACAAATGACATTGCATGAATATATATTTTTTTAAGTACATGTCCAACCAATATATTGGACACATATTTCATACCCATACATAAACAATATATATCTTAACTCAAGTATTTCGTTAATTTTCAAGAGTCTACATAACATAACCTATATCCGTGTCACTTTGCTCAAAGTCATTTTAGACTACTCATTGTGACTACCATTTTTTTTTAACTGCCAATATTTCTTGAAAAGCAATGATAATATCATTATTTTATAACCACTAATATTTTTTTGAAAGTAATGATATAGAACAACTAGTGGAGTGTCCAAGTGACTGTCTCACAAGAGTGACCACTACGCCAATTAAATTTTTTATTTTGTTTTGATGTGGGACTCCGAGTAAAGCCCCGACCACTCGATCCCCTTCATTGAACTTATAATTACCAGGTAAAGTCTCGATTCTGCCCATTGAACTTGTAGTTATCAAGTAAAACCTGACTACCCGACCCCGTCCATTGAACTTGTAATTACAGGTGAAGCCTCGACTCGATCTGCCCATTAAACTTGTAGTTACCGAGTAAAACCCGATTACCCGACCCGCCGCTGCACCAAAGTTGGTAAGTTTGATTAAAGGTGAAGTCAAAGTGGGACTCGACTGTGAAGTAAGACAGTGCAACTGTAAATGAGATTGTCTGACGTTGGTCAAACAGAGGCAATTAATAATAGTAAATGATATAGTGCAATTCTGGTGACCTTGGTGTGCCTCCATCTGTAAATTTGCATGCATACGTGTCTGTGTATATAATTATTAATTACTCTATACGAAAACAGTGTGTATTAAATGTTGCTCTCACATAAAGATGCAGATGAGAATATATATATGTATATGTATACTAGGACAGGAATTAAAAGACAGAGGAGTATATAACAAGTGAAAGAAGACAAATAGGCACCTCCTCTCTACCACACCCACCGCCGCCCACTAACACAAACAAGAGTTGCTCTATACGAGAACAGTGTGTATTAAATGTTGCTCTCACGTAAAGATGCAGATGAGATTAGAGATAACGAGATATATATATATATATATATATATATATATATATATATATATATATATGTATATGTATATGTATATGTATATTAGGACGGAAATTAAAAGACAAAAGGAGAATATAAACAAGTGAAAGAAGACAAATAGGCACCTCTTCTCCGCCACACCCACCGCCGCCCCCACTAACATAAACAAGAGTTGCTAGTGCTTAATTCCGATGCTTGCGGTGTCATTCTCATGTGCCTGGTTTTGTTTCTTAACACTTCACCAAAATACATGCACAAACATCATAATACATTGATAAAAGTAAAAACCTTGTGATAAACTTTTGAACTTAAAAAGAACTAATTAATCTCTAGAACAATTAACTAATTAATATTGCAACAGCTGAGATCTTCTTCTTAATTAAAAACATAATTGTTTCAATTTTACTGAGACCAAAAAGTAAGTCTTTAGTATTACATATAACTGCAAGTCAGCACTACATGTACACAAAAACAAACTCATTTCTACAGGAATTAAGAAGAACCTGGCCATGTCATTTTAGAAGTGAGGTTTTTGAAAATCACAGATCCATCTGTGAAATTACTGGTTAAATTCAGATGAAACAGAGTTGGTTTATGCACCTCCCCCGGAGCTTATTGGTGGTCTTGGTAGTGGCC